ATTATATCAAAAACAATATGCGAATAAACTAAAAAAATCTTTCTTAAATTCGATTAAATATTGAGCCTAAATACGACCTTTCAACAAAATTAGTCTCATATACATTAATATGTATGTATGTACATAATGTATATTTTATTGTTATAAGCCAAATAGTAAATTGACAAAAAACATTTGTTTCAATTATAGTAGAATCTATTCTAACTAACCATAATAAGAAAGAAAATAACAAAAAATAAACGATTGTTATTTGTTTGTAGGGTAAGGTGGGGTAAACAAAGATGACATAATAATATTTTTAATATAAATATTTAGTTTTTAGCACTTTATTCAAAAAAAAAAATTTGAAAAAAAGTGATAAAGATAAATTTTTAAAGTAAGAACAGAAATCCCCGGATTAATCAATGATTGATTCAAGAAATACAATCCAAATTATGTGAAGGAATTAAGAGAAATCAGTTTTTTAGGCCAAAAATAATTAAGTTTAAATAGTTTACAAATTATCGCTAATGTTTATAAAAAATATTACCAGATACATAATACATACGTACATAAGTATAATAATAGTTTATCATGTTTTTTGATTTTATAACACATTTCACTATTAATATTAATCTATTGCAATATTAAATATTTATAATGTAACAATTATGTTTGTGTTCAATTGTCCAATTTTGTTCATTGCCCTTTTTACCTTATGATATTCTGAATTGAGTTACAATTCTGTTTTAAAATTTAAAAATTTGATAATATTATTTTATATCACACTTGCATATGTATGTACATTGTACAGTACAAAAATGTTTATTCCATATTCATATCAAAAATTATTTATTGATATAAATATATATACATATGTATGTACGAAAGTAGATGCTTTTCGAAGTAGGTTTAACTAACCACATAATAGTATTAAATTATTAATTAATATGTACAATACATGTTAGTTCAAATCGGCTTAAAAATTTTTTTGAACTTGAATTATCTTAATACTTATACGATTACCATTATGTACATATTATTATACATGATTAAAAAATATTTTTATTCTAAACTTTAAGCATTTTATATTTAAACTTAATTAATTAAGAATTAATAGACTCCGTGGCGCAACGGTAGCGCGTCTGACTCCAGATCAGAAGGTTGCGTGTTCAAATCACGTCGGGGTCATATGATTGAATTGTGGCTTTTTTTTTATTTCTGTAAAATTTGGTATATGCTACATTTACGATAGAACTAATAGAACTAATAGAATAGAATTAGTTATAATAGATATTCAAGTTTCAAAAATATTTGTTATTTGAGACACAAAGGTAAGACAACTGTACATTAAAAAAAACTTCAGTTGAAGTATCTACGCCACTCAAAATTATTTGTTTTATATTTTTTTATTTTCAAAAGATTTGTGCAAGTTAGGTAGAGGCTAGATGCAAAAAATATGCCTATATGCCATTTTTCAAAAAATTGTGACTGATTCTGAAAGCTTGTCATATTCTTTTTATTTCCATTTATGTATGAAGATTGTAATCTTATTTGAAAACCCTTGAAATTTTAATGTAAAAAGTATTCATTATGTACTGCGTTTTATATGATTATAAAAAAATTTTTTTTTTGTTTTACTCAAAATGACTTATGAGTGAATAGGGACACTTTTGCATCTAACCTCCAATCTGTAGCTATAACGTGAATTATAATATTTTAAACACAGAATGCAATACACTTAGTTACCTAAACTCGCTTTAAAACACTAACTGTAATAATTTACTTTTATTCATTATTGAGTCATTTTACAGAAATATACATCTACATACATACGAGTATAATAACACACACGATATGTATAGCTAGGAGTGGTTTGTAGACAATGTACGGTTTTGAATGAAAACTCTGTTATACACTGTAGAGTGAAACTAACCTATAAATTTAAATATTTTTGCTCTGTTCATTTTAGCAGAATATAACATTTGCAGCGAAAATACGCCAGCCTACACCTAAGGATAAGTTGAAAGAAACAATTATGAAAATTTATTCAGGCAGATTGCTTCACATTTTTATATGGAAAATTAAGGTAAAATTTTTTAGTACACTCTGTAGTGGTTCAAAATGTTAAAAGTATTCCTAATAATTATAGACTCGGAGTTTGATTTTCATATAAGAATTCTGGACCTATAGGTGTACAGGAATAAATTGGCTACAATGTAAATTTTTATTGTATGTATGTATGTATGTATTAAATAGCTATGAATTTGATTTACTCTGGAGTGTTATAAGTCTTGTAAAATTAACGTTATACATAAATATTGTCTTTGTTTTTCATCCTTAAATTTCATGCTTCTATTTTCATGAAAAAAACATATTCTTACAAAATACATACATACATATATCCACGTGTTCCCTTTTCCTTTATTTATACAATATGCATATGTATGTATGTGTGTATGTATAATGATCTATAAATTTATTATAAAAATTGTTCACCTGTTGGAATTTATCATCATATTTCAATTATTAAAGAATTTTATCGAATCCTTTAATAAATCATTCAAAGTGTAAAAATGAAAGAAAAAAACAAATTCATAGCAACAAAAAAAAATCTAGAGTTGTGATTTATTTACTTAAATTGCACATAAATTCTTATTTTATGATCAAACTGATTTTTTAATTTCACAAATAACACTTTAGAATTTTCTAACTTTTTTTTTCTTTTACCACTAAATTCTATTTTATTTATACAACTCTAGTATATAATATTTTAATGCAATCTCAGATAATCTTAAATGTAATAAATTTATTATTCAATATTACTTATTCACCTGTAGAATATGTTTTATTTAAAATTATTCCTGCGCAAGAATAGTGGTGAACTATGAAGTTCATTGAAGCCCAGTGCTCAGAAAAATTTTCTTAAGTATCTGTGTAATTATTTGACAATTCTAATGAAGAATTAATCGATTTGACAATTCTAGAAGAAAAGTGGTGGACTATAAAGGTAATTTGAAGCCCAGTGCTCAGAAAAATTTTCTAAAATTAGTTATAAAGCAATAAAAATAAATGAATAGATATAAATGAAAAATTAAAACTGTGTATGTGTTAAATTATTATATGACACAATTTAACGAACTACACAGAGTTGAAGACTAGTTTTTTTACTTTATTGGATTGCAACAAAGTAATTAAATTATATTTAATTATATAAATTAATCAAACAGAGTCAAATATAGGTATCAGATAATAAAATTTAAAAATTGAACTGGTTTTTTTGAAAGTGGTATAAGTCCATTTCTTTACATATGCAGATATTTATGGGCTTGCGTTTGAATCAATTTAAATATTCTGGCCATAATAACATAATTTGTTAGTTTTATGTCTACATAGAACTCTGTTGAAATTTTGATTGTAAATAGTGGAGAGAAGTTGTCTATAAATCACTAAAATTACCATTAACTTAGCCTTTTTAACAAGTGGACTTATACCACTTTCAAAAAAACCAATTCAATTCATTCATTCACTTTGGAAAATTATTATACCAAATAAACGTAAAAACGACAAATTAATCAAAATTATCTTTATGTATAGAAAATGTATAGAAATCATTAATTTACATAAGTATGTAGTTAGAAAAATGATAAATGTGAAAAAAATTCGAACTCATTCCTCAATTCTTATAAATTTTCATATTATATAAATGATATAGTCGTAGAAACATTCCTTGCTTCATTTATAAAAAAAACGGATGCCATTAAGGCATTCTCTTGGTGCTTTTATTACGATAACACATACGGGTAATACTAATTCAAAGTGTTGTGTTATGGTCTGTGGTGTATTTTAACCAAATTATTTTACTTTCTCGCATTATTTTACTACTTTAAAAACTTAGCTAATAACAACAGGCTGTTGTTTAGCGTCCGAAAATTATTTATATTAAGGGATTCTAATATACACCAGTATACCTACCAAGGAAGCCAGTTTTTATCAGTTGAGCATTGTAGTCGTTCAAAATTATTTCTCATAAATTTATTGTGTCCAAATTTTAATTCCCTAGAATTTAAAAATCCAATTTAGATATTTTTAATCTTCAATTAAATTTATTTTGTTACGTACTTTAGTTTTAGAAATTCAATTCTTCAAAATTATTTGGCTAAAATATTTCTGAAATTTAAGCTACTTCCAGAAATTTTTTCTTATCTCTTTCCCTTCATTAATCTAAGACGTTTCCTTAGTTTAGCAAATTTATCAGTTATAGCGAATGGAGTCATTCTTAGGAAAGTCTATTTTGATTCCTTCATTAATTTTGCTTTTGAAATTTAGTATTTGAAAACATAAAAAAAATAATTCATATTCAAAACTTACTGAATAAAAAAATGATATCAAATTTTTAAAATGTTAGATAACTATATTTTGTCAAATATTTGAAAAAAAAAAAATTAAGATTTTTACTGAAAAAAAAAAAGAAATCTAGTACTCAAAAAAATTTTTTCTAAACTTTTCTTGGTAAAAAAAATTTATAATTTTTTTATTTTTCCCAGTTGGCATAAAAAATGGTACCTATATGGTTTGGCATTTTTAAATGCATTTTTCGCACATTGGGTGCGATTTAAAAATTCAAAAAAAGTATTTCCACGGACTAGAGAGAATTTAGTATATGAAATTATTGAAATTAATAGCAAGCACTGAATATTTAAAGTTTCGTCATAGAAATTTTGACATTGCGAAGAAATTATTCCTTAAAAAAAAAAAATTCCCATAAATTTCGAACAATTGAATAACTTTTTGAACTCCCTAAGCTATGAATTTAAAATTATTATACCGGTACCAAATTCAGGTCTAGTTTTAAAAATTTAAATTTGAAAATTCAAAATAGTTTAGTTTAAATATTTGCCAAATGAGGCGCTTAAATGAACCTCATAAATTTCCAACCCATATGTTTTTGACGTAATTAAATGTTTATTGGTTACATTAGGATTTTAGATGGATATTAATTTATTTTTATAACGCACAATGTTATCAGTGTATAATTTCAGATGAAAAATTATAATTTTTAAAGTTCTTTGTTCAGTGTTGTTTTAGTTTTTGATTTATTTTTAAATACCATGACACAAAACAATAAATTTAAGAAACCGGATTGCTGGGACGATGATGAACGAATGAACGCTTTGTTTCAACCATTTAGACCAAGGCAGGTTAGTTAAATTGAATATTTATTTTTCATGTGTTTTCAATTACTTATATTACCTCTTCAATTTGAAATTCTCTAAATTTAAGACCAGGTTAATATTGCTATATATTAGGGAATTTCATGAAGGGGTAAACTAGTGTTGGAAAAAGTAATAAAGAAATAATTCTGAAAAATAATTGAGTATTAATTTGTATTAAATATTGATTAGGTGAACCCACATAATTTCGACGCAAAACTTAAATTTTGGGAAGATTTAATATATGAGTATTGCAAATACCAAAAAGGAGATCCCAGTTTTAGTAAAAGCGAAATCCAATTGAGTTTTAAAAGGAAGGATAAATTAGCATTATGTTTGGACACTGTAATAGAGGATATGATTTCACAAAAAATAATTCACAAAATGGATGACCTTTTAAGTAACCCCTACAATACTTGGACTATGTGGGCCGTAAATAGCTTTGTGAAAAACCCAGTTAGATGGGGATTAAGCAGAGTTTGGGGTAAAACAAGTGTTGATACGGAAGATACAAAATATTATCATGCATCTGTTTTAAAGGTAAATGATATTTTCATTGTGATTTCTTGATTATTATCAACTCAAATTAATATTTTAGGAGTTATCCGATGAGCTTATGAATGTCTTAATGAATCATCAAGGAAAAGTTTTGAAAACTGAAGATCTTTTAGCAATATTAAAACCAAAAATGCAATTGAATAATAATGGATTAACAATATGTTTGATTAATTTATATCATAATCATAAAATTTTAGTAGATTTTGAAATTGTTAAAGGACATATTAAAATAAATCTAATTAAAGTGCCTGGTAAAGACGGGACAAAGGAAACATTTACCGAATATGATAAAACTATGGTTAAACTAAAAGAAACTAAAGATGCTCTTGAAGATCAAGTAACAAATTTAGAAAATGAAATATCAAAATATCATCAATCAGCTAAAAAATGTATTTCTGAAAAAAATCAAAGAATGGCTAAAGTTCATTTAAAAAAGAAGCTTTTTTTACAAGATCAATGTGGTAAGTCTGCTGTAAATGTTTCTTTAAGTCAATAATTTACTACAAAAATTTTTGGCTAGGTAGTCTTGGAAATTTTATTTGAAAATTTTATAACTGTTATAAATTATATTGATTCTATTATGGATAAAAATTTTCTATGTCAAATATTGAGCTATATAAATTTGTGCTTATATTTAAAATGAATACAAAAGTTTTAAAAAATCAACAAAATATGAATAACAATATGCGTAAAGTCAATTTAAATGACTCGCATTCTCCTGTATAAAGCATCCTTTGAAAGAATTTAACCTGACATCAATTTCACCCCTTTCAAGCTGAAAAAAATTTTAATGTACATACATACATACAATATTTGTAATCTTAAAAAATATATCTATCAATGTATTTACATATGTACCTCGTCAAATGCATAAATTTCGTGGTAGCAAGATGGTGATATGCACTTTCTAATACATTCTAATTTTTGTAATGATTCCAAAATTTGTTCACATTCATTGGTGATTTCACAATTTGACTCAGCTTCACGCCACGTTAATTCCTGAAAAGATTTCACGATTAATCCTATAAAGATTTCATCTTAAAATGTTAAAAATCAATATTTCATTGAAATAGGTAAAATTTAATGCGCAAATAATGTTACATTTTTGCTGGTTTCTTTATAATGATATTCTGGAAATTGAAAAACAACCGGCTTTGTTTCATACATTTCGGAATTAGCAGAACGAAAACCAAAAATTATAAGATAAATTAAAATTAATTTTGTTCTTAATTTATGACAACGAAATTCTCTTGTACTATTTACACTTTCTTCTGGCATCTTTGAGTAACTGAAATTAATCCAGTTCAATATATAGGTACCTAAAAATTAGCTTTAGCACAAAAATTTGAATATGCGCATTTGTAATGTTTTGGAACTGCTCAACAAGTGCGGCATTTATTTGTTTATGTTATAAATTTTATGTCAAATGTAATAAAAAATAAATAAATATAGTGTAATAGTATACATTTAAAAATATGGCTTAGTTATTGCACACACAACACTATTACTTTTTAATGATGATGGAAATTGTTATGTTATTTTTTTTATTTATTTATTAAATCATATTTTAAATTGAATAATAAAAAATTTTTTAAAGAAATTTATATCATTTTTATTTTTAGATAAAAAATCAAATATTCTTCATAATGTTGAAACTCTTATAGCTAATATGGAAGATGCTCAATCAAATGGTGAAATTCTTAATGTGTATAAAATGGGAACTGATTCCTTAAAATCTGTTATGTCAACAAATGGTCTTACAATAGAAAATGTAGATGAAATAATGTCAACTATGAAAGACATTACAGAAGAGCATACAGAAATTCAAAATGCTATGTCGAATATAGATAATACTTCAATGTATGAAAATGATGGTTCTCTAGAGAATGAATTAGCAGACATTCTTGCTCAAAACTCCATTGATTTGGTGAAAGAAAAAGAAAACAGTCATATTGACAACGAGAAATTAGAATTGGAAAAAGAGTTGATTGATTTGTTAGAAAACTTAGAAGTTGAAACATCAACACCCGCTAATCTATCAACGATTTCTCTTGAAAAAACAACTTAAAGATAAATCAACAATATGTTAATCGAAATTATGTTAATCGAAAATTTTAGAGAAATTCGATTTGGGACACTTCCACTAAAAGATAAATATAGGTAAAAGCTTTCTTGATTCAATTAAATTAATCGCGTATTGAATATCAAAAGTTAATTGTGAATTTTGTAACAGTGACAGTTTTTTTGGATTGTTTTTGTTTTAGTAAAATTGTAAAGTTTTTAAATTATGTATGTAAGTATTTTTAATAAATTGGTTTAGTTTTCTATCATTGTATGTATCTTATTCTACTTTCAGCAGTAATTTTTCGTATATATTATACAATTAAAAATATAGAAAATTCTTCGAATTGATTTGTTTGCATTTAAAAAGCTTATAGATATAAACTAAATCTAAAACTATAAATTTTTTTCAATGAAAAAGCTAATAATACCAAAAATATATTTTAATCATTTTATAAACAACATTAATGTTTGTTAATAAATATTAACTGTTATAGCTAATTACATACAGGTGTATGTACGCTGTATGTACGAATAAATGATTATCATATTTCAAATATATTACTTTACAATATTTTAAATACATATGTAATTGTGGGTATTTATTTGGCTTCCTTTATTTTCTCTAAAGTTACAAATAAACAAACCTCTACCTAATAAAATAAATGTAATATGGAGAATTGCATTTTTCTCAGCACAATTTTATATTATAAAATATTACAAAATAAAATATTATAAATATGTAGGTACTATTAGCTTTATTAAATATTTTACAAGAATTGAAATTTTTAATTACTGCAACTTTTAAATTTTACAAATATGAATTTCATTGAAAATCAACTTCATATTTAATTTTGATTACTCTACTATAAAACTAACACCTGTTTATTTACTTTTCAGTTGGAATACATGAATAATTTTCCATTTATTTTGTATTCTTCAAAAGGAATAAAGAGTTCCCACGATAATTTATGATTAAAATGTTTTTTTTTTTCTACTTCTTGTATAAAAAGCTACAAATTTCCATTTTTTTACATCAACTTAATTTAGAATAACCATTTTTCAAATAAATTTTGTTTTTGCCCAAAATAAACTTGTAATAAATTTAAATTCGTTTTGCAGAACATTATTATAGATATAATATATATTGTATATATGAATATTATTATCACAGTAATTCAGATACCTTTCGATAAAAGTTTTGAAAAAATTATGTAAATTACTAAATCTTAAGATTTTAATGATGTTATGACGATTGTCATTTTCATATCATTTACATTGTAAATTAGGTATCTTCGATGAATAATCATCATAAATAATAATAAACTGAAAAAGGGCAATAAAAAACAAAATATCAAAAAAAAATAAAAAACAAAATAATGGTAATTTATAAAAGGAGAAACAAAATATAGGTAAAATTTTAAGATCCAGTCAGAATTTAAGGATAATTTTAATTATCTACGTTAAGGGTCAAAGAATAATTTTACATTATCCTAAATTTCAATATATTTATAAAATTTTTAAGGTATAGTAAATTTTAGGTATTGTTTATAACATAATTATAATTTCTTTCAGTTCATATTGTGAAAAAATCGAATTAAGTGTTAAGGTACCAACAATAACTGTTGTAAGGCGGATCACTTTCTAATAGTCAAGAAAAGCTTTACATAAAAATTTATATTTTGTTTAAATAAAAATCTTTTGTTTAAATTAAAATTGTCAGAAAATTCTAAGAACTACGTAAATAACTTGACTGACACAAATTTTCCACGTAACCAAAAAAGTTTATCCAAAACCACTTAAATAAGAAAATATTCGCTTCATAAATAATTCACAAGAAAATTTAGTACATGGAAATAATGGCAAAGAAAAGGAAGATTCCTATAGAGATAGACATTTTAAAGGTGAACTTGCTAAACAAAATATTTTTCTTATTTACATTTTGATTGTTATCTTTTCGTAAAAAATATTAATGATTTAATAAAACAATAAGATAAAAGTGTTTAAGGATAATAAAGACAGTGAGAAATGAATATAATTATTATTAAATAAAGTGTGAAGTTAACTTGAATTTTTCAATAAAAAATGGTTATTTTTTTACAAAAATATTATATAATATTTATTATGGTATCTTTTGCAAAAAAAGTGAATTGTTTAATTATCGTTAAAGAATTTATAACAATAAAAAAAATTTAAAAGAATTTTATTAATATTTTCCGGCAGCTTAGATAATATTTTGAAAAAAATTTAAATTCGGGTGTCGAAAATTACCCAATTATGTACTCAATTTAAATTTTACAATAAAATTTATAGCAAAAGCAATAATTTCCAGAAATTTAAATTTATTATACAAAATAAAATATATATGTATATATATATATGATAATTTTTATGTTATACTAAAAGTTGCTTAAGAAATTTCTGTTTAATTAAAATTTTAACATTGTAAATCAAAATGTTTTTTTTTTTTTTATTAAAAGTTGTAAAACTGATTTTAAGAAAAATTTTCCTTCTACTATGAGAAATTATTTTAAACCATTTTATACTTTTGGAAATATTTTGAAAATATTCTAGATTTATTTTGTATGGATTTCGTATAAAATAATTTAAAAATAATAAGATTTTTATAATAAAAGTAAATTTTGCTTTAGTAATGCTCAAACAAATCAAACTGACTCTAAGGCCAGTGACTTACTTTTGTACATTTTCAATATTCTTCAATATTTTGAATTCCTAAAATAAATTTTATCTTAAAATAAGCCCTTAAATTATCAAATTATAAACCCGAAATTAAATTTTATGAAAAATTTTTTTCAAACACATAATTTTCTAGAAAACAAAAAATACGAATTTTATTCATAAAACAAAATGCTTAATTGATTTTTTCTATATTATGTTTTTAATTAAATTATGGTTTTTAAATTTAAAGAGAACAGAAAAAAAATATTCAAATTTCCATTTAATTTTTATTGAAATAGACAACACCATTGTTATCATTCAGTTTTCAAATATAAACTCTTATATATTTGTAGGTATTAAATATTTAGGAACAACCACATTTAAAGTGGTCAATTTCGATGGTTCCATATTTAAAACCACTTTTATGTACATTTTGTAATGTTACTAGGTTAACAAGTCTAATATTATATATCAAAGCTACAATAGATGACGTATGTATACCTGATATAAAGCGGAAATTTTACGTAGAAGTAAACAATCAGGAGATGTCGAATTCCACCTGATCTGGTCAGTCAGCTTCACAATATGAAATTAAACCAAATAACAAAATTACCCGTTATAAATTTAAACAAACACAAAATACTTAAGTACAATAATGTAAATAGGCTTAGATACTACATACATAGGAAGAATTTGTATGTGCTTATGTATACCTATTTTTTTTTACATTTCATAAACATTTAATGAAAATGATAAGAAGGAACCTAAAAATACTTTATTATAGAAATTATAACCATTGCAGTAAAAAAATTTTTTTTTATTAAACTTTAATTTACTTTCATTTATTTCAAGTTTTCTTTTTCTTTTTTTTGTTTTGGTTTTAAATTTTATGACATGAATTTAGAATAAAAATTGTTTAATGTATTTCTAAAAGTGATATTCGTCGCGTGGAAGAATAATAGATGGACCACATTAGATGAAAATTTGAAAAATAAATTATATTTTAACGGAAACATCGGAAGTTCCCGTTTAGTTAGTGAAAGTTCAACGATAGGGCTTCGATATTTGAAATTTTTCCTTTCTGATATTTTATAACTATTTATGAAATTAATTAACTACTTAATTGGTTTTTATAAACAAATTTCGCAAGTCGAATTCTAAACAATGTGAATAAATGCATTTATGTATCTCGATTTCACCTAAAACAATTTCGATGAGAATTTATATTTGACCTTGATAAGCTTTTGGGTCATGTCAGATCTCAGAGTTTTAGTACTAGTCTATATTACAGTTTTGACCGTATACACATTATATAGAGAAATAATTAACAAATCTCCTCGAAATTTAATATTTCAAATCGAAAGTAATAACAATAAAGTAATATATTGTCCGGGGGGCATCTAGGCTCGAAAACTGAACGTTTATACTATAGGAAACGATTTTAGCATCAGTTTCCAAAAAGCCATTACGTAGATATGTGGAGAAAACGTAATTTATTCATAAGAATTTTTAAAAATAACTCGAGAAAATTATAAAATTAATTTTGTTTCAAAATTTTATTCTTCCATAAGAGTTTCTCTATGGTTATTCTTTGATTTAAACATGAATTTTTTTTTTATTATTATTTAAGAAAATAAAAATTTTATAGCATTCTTATTATATGTTCTTAAAATCCTTGGGAATTTATTGTCAAGAAAAAAAAATTTTTTTTTTTTTTTGATTTTACTTTCTAAAAATATTGTAGGTACTTTACGTACATAAATGTTTAAGTTTGTACACAAAAAGTGAAAAAAAAATTTCATTTTTAAATAAATTATTAATGAAAAAGAAAAGAACAGTAAGTATAATACTTTTAAAATCAAATTATCATGTATGAGCACATGTTCGTTGCCCATATACCAAATTTTTAGAAGATATCTTTGAAATACAATGTATATACATATGTACGTTTATGTAGGTACATACATATAATATAGCAGATGATATAAATGAGGGTAGATATACGAGTATATAATAATGATTTTATGCACAATATCACTACTTAATATTAATTTATGGTCTATAATAAAATACAGAAAAATTGTACATAAAATATAAAATAATAAAAGGTCAACAATAAATTTTTTAACGTATAGGAAAATATTTTAAGGATTCAACTTGAAATACGGATCTGCATTTGTTTGTATGTACGTTTTTTTTCTTCTTAAATAATTTATTAGTGTTCTAACCGTTTTTTAATCAAAGTGAATAATATAATAAAATTTTTAAATTTGTATTGTAAATTTTGAAAAATTCATGTATTTTTAAAATATTTAAAATTTTTTTATACTCGTAACTTATTACTTTTAAC